TAGTAAAAGAGATTGATATGGTGTTTTTAAATGGCAATATATCAGCATATGAAGATATTGTAATATTTTAATGTATCAATATTTTTCCCTCGTCTGTAGAAGTTTTTAAGTCTGTAAAAAAGACGTTTTTGAGGAAGAAGTAGTAGTATTTTTAATTTTTTTAATTAAATTTTTTGAATTACACGTAACAACAGGCCTTTCTAGGTATCTGTTTTTGGAACATTAGAATCACATGGGCGAGGCATTAGCAATGAGGATCACATTGTTAATGTAAAGAGGAATCTCTTTTAAAATGCCACCAAATGCTAAAGAAACAGAATAAACTGAAAAAGAATCTTAGCACTTATATTTCAAAAATGAAGAGCTTAGTGTAGCGCATTATCCAGAAACAAACATTCATCAGAATTAGGGCTGGGTAAAAAAATTGATTTTAATCGATTTTTAATCACTTCCTGTACATTTTTGCAAAATCGATGTCTAGGGAATGAGATCGATTAGTGAAGCACGTGACGTTCACATTTAAATGAGCAGGAAAGATGCTCTCAAGAAGCCAGATAGCTGCAAATATAGCCAGTAGGTTGACTGAAGACATTAACAAATGGGGGCTGACCAGCAAACACCCTGTAGTTGTTACAGACAACGCTGCAAATATGGTTTGTACAGTGGAGATAATGCAGCTCATGCATGTCTGCTTTGTTACGTCTGCTTGCTCGAGTGAGGCTTCACTTTTTCACTTTTCACAAACAAGTTTGCACTTTTGAGACAGTTTTGTTCACACCTCAAGTTTAAACTGTCTGATTTACAAGTTTGCACTTTGTGTTTAATGTCAGAGGAAAAAATAAAATACATGAGTATTTTGAAACACAGTTGAACCACTTTCATTATTGTAAAAATGGATCGAATTAAAATTAATCGATTTAGAACTGTATGAATCAAATCGAATCAATTCAGGACTTTGGAGAAAATACCCAGCCCTAATCAGAACGAAATCCAAACATCCAGCTATGTTGGGCGAAGTATTTTGCAGGTTCTGGCTCTGTTTGTTACCGCAGATTATTCAACAAATCAAATATAAATGTTCAGGGCAACTGTGGTAAAAAGTCAAAAGTGAGAAAATATTCAACTACTAAATATGGAATTCCTCCAAGGCTACGTTCACAGTGCAAGCATTAATGCTCAATTCAGGTTTTTTTTTTTGTAAAATAAGTTTCTTTTTCGTGTTCTTCACATTTCCAACTACCGTATTTTCACGACCATAAGGCGCACCGGACTAAAAGGCGCACTCTCAGTT